TTAGTTTAAGCATAAATCTGTTATTGAAGTGTTATGTTTTGCTGAAATGACTTCTTTTTCCTTTTATCTTTTTTTTCTCAGTTCAACTGCTCTCATCGCTGTTTAGGTGATTGCTGATCGTGTGCGAGGTCCGTCATGCGTATCTATAGCTAAACCCATCTTGTCTGACCTAGTATCAGAAAAAGAAGCACCTCCTAGCACGTCTGCTCCCGAACGGGATCCTCGCGCTCCATGTAGGGATTGGCGTATAGCAAAAGTAGCCGCATTTTCAGCGCTACGTTCCAGGATGGAAACAGCGCCAAGAAAAAAGGCAATGAAGTTGCAATGGCCTAACTTGGTTTGTGGATACTGCTGCATTTGCTGGAAATGCTTGAAAAGATCTTAGATTTAGGCGAATTCAGAGGAATGGGAGCAGTTACTATTGCGACGTTGCCATCCCAAATGTGTACATTTTCTTCCAAACTTTCCAAATCACCAGGGAACACCACCAGCTGTTCCTGTGGTGTTAAGTCTTAGCTCAGCAATGGCGAGTACTTTTATGAATTTTTGATTTCTGTTAACAAATTTAAAAGTTCTTTTTAAGGTTGAGAATGTGATTCAGTATGCCGTAGAATGGGCTGAATGTGATGGGCTCTCCAGACCACTCAGAGAATGGCTTTTTGCTCTACTTCTTCTAGTTCATAAACCTGTTTTGCCTGATGTATGTGCTGCAATGCGAGGTTTAGCTAATTTATGTAGGAGGATGAGAAGTTCATTGGATATGGAAAGGTGAGATGATGGTATTTCAAATTTTATAAATTGAATAGGAAATGTAGAAATCGAATACAAGTTCTTTGTTGGAACGTGCTATAAATTTTTTACAGATTTCGGAAACGAATAGAACTTTATGCTTATATTGTTCATAAGCTTACGAAAATAAAGAAAAATTACAGCAAATGATTGTTTTGAAATATAAAGTTTATCTGAACATTTAAACAGTATATAGTTTAGTTAGATGAATCTTTTATTTACAGAAAAGACGAAATCTATGAGTTGTCCTGGTTCATTGCCATAGTTGCAG